ATATATATTTCCCATAACCAAAGTAATGGGGAAACCAACATTATTTTTGTTTTAGGATTATTTATACTATATACTGCATTCAGTACTTTAAAATGCCAATCAAAGTGCAATCTCATTATTTATTGTAAAAATAAAAAGTGTACTTATGTACTAAATCCCTCCCCTTCCCCTTCCCCCTCTCCCCACAGTAGCATATTATTTTTCTATTTTGTTTTATGTAAGTGTAATTTAGGTAAAATATTTTCATCCCCAGCACTATTCCTAGTATTAACCTTCTTACAGTATATTGTATGTTTAAAAATGGGAGGGTTTATGAATTGCCAAAAAAAAAAAGAAGAAGATGAAGAAGAAGAAAAGAAGAAAGAATGTACCCAATATTGCCTACACGCAAATGAACCATCCTGCGGGGGCCACATCCGATCCATCTGTGGTGCATAGAAACAGTCATCTGCAAAGTTTACATGTAGCCAAAAAAATCATAAGCATCTTTTGAAATAATAGTTTGAGAGTGATTCATTATTCTGTGTGCCTCTCTTGATGTAGCAAACTAGTGCAAAGGTTCTCTATTTTGTTCTTTCCTAATGTTAGTGTACACATTTGCCTAGCAAACAAATAGTATTGAGTTATTTTCTTTTTTAAATCTCCTCCTCTTACTGGCCCGAATTTTGGCCAGAATCATGCCTTGGCAAATGTGGCATTGTTGATGTTGTTTAATTCAACTTTATTCCTTTTATATAGTGCTTGGTTGACTTTAAATATAAAATTTCAAAAAAAAATGGTGGGGGAATTAAAAAAAAGATGTAGATAGCATTAGCTGTGCTTCAATCTCATTTAAATCATTGGAACAATTAACTAGGAGTCATTGGGAACCCGTTGGTCGTAATGGCTCTGAAACCCTTTCCATTTTTCTGGATAGGGGCAATCCATTTGGAAAGCCACACTTTTGTAAAGAAGCTGTTTTCACTCTCACCATGCCTTGTGATTATCAGTCCACTGCCATAAAAATCTCTTCCTTCTATTTTTGACTTGAGCAGAAAATGACTGCATATTCTTTCAAAGCTTGCAGGGAAAGTCAGTCACGCTCGGACTGGATGTTAAAGCCTGAGACCTTTAGTTGGGTCTGACTTTTCCCACTGATTTCAGTGGGACTAAGCCAATGCAAAGGGGCAGCAGAAGAGGAGAACATGAACTCTGTCTGCAGGAAATGGAGGGAGATTCCCAACAGAGCAACTCAGTGCCCTCAGCCCTCTGGCTTCAAAATCAATCTTTTTCTCTCCCTTATTTTTTATCCTCCGTTAACGGAGGGAATTAATTACACCAGCTCATGGATTAATATAATTTCCTGTTTTGAACCAAATTGTAGCTCTGTTGGCCTTTCACAAGTTGAAAAAGACATTGGGAAGGCGGGACATCAGTTGGGAGCTCCACCATGGATGCATATGTCTAATAGTTTGCGTTTTTATTGTGGTTTTAGTTGATTTTTGTTTTAATGTAATATTTTGTTTTTCTTTGTTCACTGCCCAGAGTTTCTCAGATAGATGGACAGTCATATAAATTGGGAGGATAAATAAATAATGTGTGGGTGATCTGGCTGCAACATCTGTCACCCCATTGATCACCAGTTGATTTGGCTGATCTGGCCGGCTAGGCAGGTGTCCCCTTCCTTCCTCATCACTCCATGCTTATCCTTCCTGAAGCTGTGCACTCAGTTGAACAGGACAACCATCCCAGATAGGAGTGTACAGATCTTCAACCAATAAATAAGGAAGGAAGGTTAGGAACCTGGAGACCTTCAGCCGCCCCAGACTGCCCTCATTCTGGCCTCATTGTTGGCTGAGCACCAACACTGGAAGGGATCATTTTAATTCCACCCAGAGTGAATCTCTCTTAATAGACATCACACTCTCCAGCAATAAGGAAGTTCACCAACCTCTAGTGCTCCAGTGCACTATCACGAGGAGAACATAGGATTGCTTCTTTAATCCAGAGCCAACCATTTGCGTGTTTAGACAAAGTCATTTTGTGCAAGACTGGAGAAAAGTGATCTGGAGAAAAATCAGTAGCCTTTGATTATCAAGAAAATCAAATGTGTTTCATATTTTTATTGTAGTTTCAACATCTCCCCCAATCGAGTATACATACTATACACATGGCCATGCATTTTAACTGCTGTGTTAGATTGAATCTGATATCATTGGTTACCTTATACCCACTTCCATAAAGATTAACTACTAATGCAGCCATTCTGTAAAAGAGAGAATTCCACCCATTCCTGTTTCAACTTCCATAATCATCAGTTTATGGAAAGAAAGAAATTGCTTTCTATTCCCTTGTATGTCTTTTCTGGCCCAATCGGTATCGGCTGTGTAAAACCAACTTCCCTTGTCCCCAGTTTTGTGTAAAGAAATTGTAAAAAAAAAAAAAAAATACCATATGGGGAAATTATTTTAAGAAGTTATTTAAAAAGAAAAAGAAAAAATTTTATATTATCTGCCTTTGTCCTTTATGAACTTGAAATGTTGTAGTTTTCTAATCATGTTTTGTCAGCAACAGTAGATCAGTACTCACTGTTAATCATGGAAAAGTGCCCTAAAATTGAATGTTTCTGAACATTTTTCTTGCACAATTCTTTAAATTGAAAAAGAAAATTAAAAGTTGTTTTTCTTTTTATTTTTTTTACCTCACTTATAGGACATACATTCCAAGCTTTTCAACTTTGAAATAAATAATCATAAGTTTTCTTGTAAATTTTAACTATTTCATATGCATTGTATTAAAACTGCCATATCAACTTTAATGTATAGATTTTTGCAAATATTACGCTATGTATGTAAACTGTATCTGTAGTGTATATGTAATATATTTATGCCCAATAAATGTTTTAATTCTTTCTTGATGACAAGATTCTTTTTTTATTGATATGAAGATTTCTCCATGGAAGTCTTTGCACCTATTGAGACAAACTAGAGGATGTGTAGGTTTGAAATCTCAGAATTCCTAGCTAGCAGAGTGCTATATTAGGGAAGGCTATAGCAGTTATTTTCTCCAATTAATTTTTATGCTCAAACCCCCTCCCAGTTTTATTGTATGCATATTGCTTTTAGCTTCCCTTGCAGGTTGAAGTTTCTTCTGGCCTTTAGCCTTTCTGACTTTCTTTCTGCAGATGTGAGGCAGATGCAAGAATATGTTCCTTGACAAAAGCTGTACAATTAAGAAAATGATCTGTGAGGCTTTTGGTAGATGTTTTCACCCAGGAATCCAGAAACAACATCAGTGGGGAGGGCTTGGAACCTACTTTTGTAGCTCCAGAGTTGTTCTTGATAGACTTGAGCCTTTGTGTCACATTCATCCATCTCTCCATCCCCTCTGCTTCTATCTTCTGGGAGGCTTCTTGGTGCTGTTGGCACCAAATCAGGAGGTTTTCCTTCTGCTTCTATCCAAGAGTTGCAACTGAAGGTGTTATGTTGGTGGCATTTCACTCCTCCTAGATTAGCTTCACTCCTCCTAGATTATATTAAGCCGTCATTCTTCAAAATGTTGGAGAGGCTTTACACAAAAAAGATCATTTTACCATGCATGGTGGATATGTGGATAGGAAGCGTCTTTCTGGTGTAATTTTTTAGCAAAATTAGTATTGTTACAAAGCAAAGAATTGAACGTACTCCAGAGCTAGGTTTGTTACATCTATTTATGTGATCCAAGCTTCTCTTAAAAATAAGGAATGGATTGTCTACTTATGACTGGTGTGGGTCTTCCGGGTTGTGTGGCCGTGTTCTGGAAGTTTTGTTTCCTAACGTTTCG